TTGGATAGGTAGAGGAATCCGATGTTGATGAGTATGTCCCGAAGGCTGGCAAGGAAAGCATCTCTTTCGGGCCCGGGTCGTTGAGACTGGGTATAGTCAAGAGTAGGGATGAAGGAATAGTGCGTTGGAGTTACCGTAGTAGTCACTGTGGTAGACATCATGAATGAGTAGACAGATTTATGAAGTCGGAAGGTTTTAAAGAGATACGTCTGGGAAATAGTCCCATAAAGCCAAGCGTACATGAGATATGACCTCCGAACTGGTGTAGGAACTGCACAAGCACTGCTACTACGGTGCGAGTCAAAAAGGCTTTCATTCCAGAGAAGTTCACAAAATTGTGTGAAAATATATAGATGGTGCCTTGAGAAGATATTCAAACGTGAAGATACGTGGCTCAGTGTATGGGGAATTATCGTTGATGCCTTCAGGAATGCGGGAGCAGTGTGCCCGGAACCGTAAGCAAAGGAAATAACAGACCAGCGATTCAAGGGAGAGATGGAATTCATTGCGAGGGGATTGGATGAAATGATTTTAATTAGGAACGAGGAGGAATGTTCGCATTCTCAGGACACGCACAACTTCAACCAGTCCACACCAGTCTTCACCCACATGAGGAACTTTCCAAATAAATTTCGGTTGAATTTCTCTCAAATTCAGAAACCTGTTATGCAAGCTGCTGTCCATAATCGTTGATAAACGTGCTATTTTGTGCGACGGTCGTTGCAGATTAGGAGAAAGTAGATATAATTTAGGATGCTTTCAAGCCGTACGCGTCGTCAAAGGACAAGGCAGCCGGGAATACGTGTTGGCAGTAGCCAGAGCTAACCGCTTAGCGCATTTTGAAAAGAGTATTTCTGTCAGTATCGTTTGGCGGTTTGGCGGAATAGCAGTTGGGAACATCTAGTCGGAGATTGAATATGATCCGCTCATCACGTGCGCCGCGCGTCTTTGTTGAAACTCTCCAAACGCGTCTACGAGTGTTTCGACTTTTTGTTTTTCACTTTCATGTTAGTCAGCCGGACTCTGAGCCTACCACTTTGTTGCCCCACTTCATAGCGCCCCGCTACTTCGACGGGATCAACACTCTAGTAAATTTTCCTTGATCTCCTCTTCTTGCATTAGTTCACATTTGCTCCCGAATCGAAGCTCTCTGATACCCTATATAATTATGCCACCCTCTACGCAACACCTCATTATGGAGTATGCACCGCCAGATGTGCGCTCGCCGTCTCCGACGAGCTCAGTTGGCAGCAGGCATCCCGAGGATCAAACATCGCTGTCCGACTCGGAAGGAATGCTCAGTCAACCCCAATTCGAACAAAAGTGGGACAATAAGATCGGGCTCGGTCAGCCATCACATCGAGAATTGGATGCTCAGAGGGATCCTTTGATACCAAGGCCAACGCCTGGCTCCAAAGAAGAAAAATGTGTGTACAATTTTTCTCAGTCAGATCTTTCGCCTTCTTATGCTCAGTTCCTAGTGGCTTATGAAGAGATACTTCAACATCTTCGCCATGAAGCGGGCCAGCTTCACGAGAATGATATGTTTGAACAGACCATCTTACGAGGGTCCAAGGCTGTTGTCGAGACGCCTGTATACACCCGTGATATCGATAGGATCATGCACAGTATGATGGGTCCTTCATCCTCCACTGTTGTCTTCCCTAGTGCCACTTCAACTCCTTTCGCCGGTCCCTTGCGTTCCCGGCCTCGGCCGTCTACATACCATCCGTCTGCTCATGATGATATGACGAATGGCCCATGGAACGATCCAGAAATCACACGAGGAGAATTCGGAGCAGGGATGGATTCTTTTGTCGGAGCAGCGCCCAACCCTGCAGGAACGATGATGATGCCACATCCACCTTCGGCCGATTTTGGCGTCATGCCAGGATTAGGGAGGCGACGAACTAGCCGGAGATGATCATTGTACTTGGTCAAGGTTGCGCGCTGGAAGATTTGGACATATGTAACGTGAGCGTGGTGCAGATCTGGACCCACTGTGTATCATTCACTTTTTGTAGCATTCCATGTAACATTACAAAAGTACATACTCTTGCATTTGGTTGATCGTCGTAATTATGTACTTTGGAACGAGGTGTCGCGGATATTCACGCTACAGCAAACTCGAAAGCCCATGTCGTAGTGTCGGTCTGGAAGATCGGGAAGGAAACCGAATTGCCCGTGTATGTATGTGCAACAACTCCGAGGTTGGTTGGTGCTCCGACATTGCCGCCGGTGAAAGAAAATTGGAACGTGTTTATGTCGAGAGTTCCGGATGTTGGGAGACCGACAGAAGAAAGCGAGCAGTCACTCGCTATGTACTAGAAAGCATTACTGAGAGGGTCGTTGTTTGGTCACTTATGCACAGACCTGTGACTTGACGTCCTCCGACAAGAATACGGACTTGGTCAGTGCCTACAGTAGCGTAGGAGTCCATCAGCCTACCGATAGAACCGGTCGTAACTACTCTGTGACCAGTCATCATCTGGTTGTAGTACTGATAAACCTGATAGTCTAAATATGTGCGAAGGAAAAGGAAAAGTCAGAGAGTTTCCAAAACAGTTAATGCGAAGAAGCTTTGATATACCTCCATTTGTCTAGTATCCTGTCGCTGTAGCATCAGTAGGATCAGGTTTCCACAAAAGACTTGCGAGAAAATCATGAAGCTCAGTTCCGCTGAGCCAGTTTCTACGCAAGCCCGGGTCGTTAAATCGTTCGAGACGTGAGATCCACCAAGCAGAACCTCCAGGGCACTGCTCTGCAAAAAACACCGTATTCGTCAATGACAATAGGTTTCGTTGCGAGGCCGTGCGAGCTCAACATAGAATCCAAGATAGGTATGTTGGTCTGCAAGTTATCATTCACGTCTGCAGTCTACGAACTTTATTGAGTACACCGATCTTTACAGTGGGAAATAGCGTACGCTTCCTTCAAGATGCCATACATAGGCATCTGGAACTGTACCGTCGCCGAAAATTTGGGCGAGGAATGTGGTCCACCTGTGAATGGAGGTGTAAATATCATCAATCATCTCCCCAATGAGTGGTCATACCATGTGTTGGTTGTTTCCGGTGCCCCCGCGAGCGTTGGCCCGAACAACTCGACAGTAGATACAAGCGAAGCCCTATATTGATTTAGCATCAGGTTAGAAACTCGCAGGTACAAAAGAAAGATGGACCTGAAAGCATCGTAACCTCGACTCCACATCGTAAGCCATTGTCCCTGGTCTATTGACATAAGTAAGGCATGTCAACGACCGAAAGCTCAATCAACTCATGAACTTACTACCGTTCCAGAACAACGTTCCCGCGTCTGGCTCGTTCCAAAGATCAACAGCCAAGCCAGTAAACATGCTGTTAGAGTTGATTCCTGCGATAACGTTAACGCTATCATAGTTGTCCCAATCTCCGTCGTCTCCCGGTAAGACTGAACCTGCAGGCTGCGTGCCATCTGTTCCCCATAGATCGTTCAGTAGCAAGATAAATTTCGCGTTGAACCTGCGCGCTGTGTTGTAATTGGAAACAGCCGATTCAAAGCGATTCTGGAATCGCACGACGTCATAACAGTATATATCAGTCATATGAACAAGACTAACCTTGAATTTTGTCAATCCAAAGATCCACCCTCGTGCAGGTGCGGCAAGTTGAGCACCACTTCCTCGTCCATAGTTGAACCCCATGTCTATACATGCAGGTCAGGAAAGGCATCAACAATGTATAGATTCAATTTGCCTCTACCTTCATAAGGCGAATCTGGAATCTGTTCTAGAGCATCTGGGATGCCATACAAAAATCCCGAGGCCAAGTGCAGGGAAGTGCCGGTGTTGTCAGCTAGATTCACTGTCGTGATTTGATTTGTTGTTTGACGCGTCTCAAGAGTCTGAACAGTGAGTGCGTAGGTGGAAAATGGGACTAGGACGAGCCCAACCAAAGACGAAAGGGAGAGGATCATGGTTTTGCTCTGGCAGAGACACGACAGTAGGCAAGAACAATTCTTATAGATCGTGCGCGGAGCTTGCAGAACTTTCGTGGACCGCTAACAGTCAGATGGGCATAACGCAGTTTGTGTAACGAGGGGGTACCAGTCTCTGTTGAAGGCATACTCAAAGAGGTGGAATACTTGAGAAAATGCGAACAAAATTCGAGCCTATGAAGTGCGGAGGATTTGAAGTTATCCACGGGTTCAAAGGTCTCCTGTGGGAGAAAACATGCATCAGACATACTATCGACGCATGAGATGATAAATGTTAGATTGGAAAGCAACGATCAGTTTGCAAATTATACAACTCTCATCTAGCAGTTTGAGTTTGGCATCCACAACGGTTACATTTGAGGACGACTCCAACGAAACACAGCTGTGGTTGAACAGACAAGCTATCGAGAATGTTGCTTGTTTTCATCATGAAGGGGAGTATTCGGAAGGAAGATAGGAGGATAATGTACGGTTACGCGTGGATTGGGTTGAAAAGGACAAAATAACGATTTAAAGAGCTTCTTACCGAGGTAGATTTCCTCTAAAATTCGCTCCCTTGACATCGTTCTGAGTAGAATGAAGTGATATAGGACAAGTCATGCTATCAACAAGACCGAAGTTCTAATTCAGACAATTGTCGAGCCGTTGAACACTTGCATGTGGAAGGGACGAATATTCAAGAAAAAACGTTGGAGGAAGCACTGGACGATAAGTAATAACCAGGACACAGATGAATATTATCTTGTAAAATTGTAAGCTGTTACTAGTGGATGGAAATTCTGGGGCGGGTCCGGATAATGCCGGACCGTCTGCAGCGACATTGGTTTGAAAATGGCTAGGGTTAGGCTTCGGGGATAAACCTCACATTGGTAAAGTGGAATCTTCCGCAATTTGTGTATCATATTCTGAGGTTGAAATTATACATGTATGTTTTCTTAGAAAAAGGCTGAAATTGTTGAAGGTCACATCACTGCAGCGAGCCTCCTGGCGAGCTCAAGGGGTAATTCTATGGAATGTCCTATATATCCCTGGTAGTATATCGGTTAGTACACGCGCCTGTCACGTGTAGCATAATTGCGCGCGAAAGCTGGGTTCGACTCCCAGCCAGGGAGTTTTAAACCTTGTTAAGTTGGATCTTGCGTAGTCTTTCTCTTTCTTTTCCTTTTTCATCTGTACCATGAATTCCTTTGTCAATCTCGCCATGGTCCCAAAGCGCTGTCGCTTATCACTCCGTAGCAGGTGCTCTACCATGTTATTGATCCCATCCATCGATATCTGAATGAAACTGCGTGATAAGTTGACGGTGATTGAGAAATACATGGATTACACGTTCACATCTCTTGCGGCGCAGTCCTTCAAGGAAAACGAAGTTTTCGAAGGTGTACTTACAATAGACATCGCGGCATTCATCAACTCATGTAGTGCTCAGCTGAGGCTGCCACGCGCGTCCCTCGAGGAACTGCGCGTTTGCCAAATTGCCTGCTTGTTCTCTTGCTCAAGATCCTTTCGTAAGCTAGTTTAATATCCGGCAGTATATAAAGAACGTAAGGGAAATCAAAACAGCAAGGAATCGCCTTTCCTTACTCCCTCTCAGTCTTATTTCTAATCTCAATCTCAACGCTCTATTCATAATGCCACCACGTCCTAGTCAACAAGGCGGAGCTGCTCGAGGAGGTGGCAGAGGAGGTGGCAGAGGCGGTACCCGTGGTGGTCCTCCTCCTCGAACAGGTCCGCAGCTCGTTGGACGTGGGGCCCAGATGACTGGTACAGGCGGCCAGCCCTCTGGGCTCCCAGCAGGTATCGTTTCCGTATCGTGTTTCTCGTTTTAGAATTTGTTGAATCAATGTCTCGCTTCGTGTTTTTTCCCCCTTCTTTTTTCATGTTATCAAGCCCACGTTAAGACGGTCGGTGTTCGACGTAGAGCGTACGGGGTTGCTGGGAAAAAATTGACAGTGCATACCAATGCCTGTGAGGCAAAAGTTCCTCAAGGGATCATATATCACTACGATGGTATGCCACTTTCTTTTGTGGGTCTCGATGATTTGACGAGTCCGATCTGGTACTTGTAGTTGGCAAGTCTGCTGTTCATCATATCCTATGCGCATTTGCTTATAGTCATGTAGCAATCATGACCGAGAAGACCCTTCCTCCACGTTTCGCTATGCAATTGATCAAACAACTTCAGCTCCAGCCTGAATTTGCCCCTGCTGGCGCGTATGATGGCAAGAAAAATCTCTTCATGCCCCATCTGATTGATATGGGAGGTGCAAACTCTCGCGAGGTAAGTGAAATTTACAAATTTCCTTCGTTTCTTTGTGCTCACTTTTACTTAAAAGTACAATATCGTGATGAATGGCAATTCTGCGCCACGAAACAAACCCCCTCGCGTATTCAAAATACGAATCACGAAGGTTGCGGAAGTTAACCCAGAGTGCGTCGCGTCCAGTTTCAAGATTCGAGTCTGCTGAGCTTGCTTTGCTTCATAGAGTACTTGCCCGTTTCATTGATGGAGGTCACGCGTTAGACGAGAGTGTTCAGACAGCGCTGACGGTATGTGTTGTGGTGCTTTTTATCGATCTTCGTTAATATGTATATGTATTGCCAGGCTTTAAATGTCATTATCAGGATGTTACCCATGCAGACGCATCCTTTCAACTCCAGGTCCTTCTTCACTGACAATGAGATTAGGAATGTTGGCCATGGTCTCCAATTACGAAGAGGGTACTTCCAATCGCTCAGGCCGACATTCGGACGCCTTCTTCTGAACATGGATCTGTCCACGGGGATGTTCTACAGGGATGGACAAGCGATAGACATCGCATTGGAAGTGATTGGTCAGCGAGATCCAAATACCCTATCAATAGCGCGCGGTCTTCCAGATCGTGTGTTCAAAGAATTGGAGCGACATTTGAAGAATGTCCGTATCTCCGTACAGCCAGCTGGTCCTGGCTCCCCTCCGAACATCGTTGTGATTAGTTCATTGACGAAGGAAGGTGCTCGATCTGTCGTTTTTAGCACGAAGGATGGTGGTTCGACCAACGTCGCTTCATACTTCCAACGTCTGTCAGGTCACCCACTTCGGTACCCAGATATTGTCTGTGCAAAAGTAAAGTTGTGTTGGATTTTGACTGAGGGGCGATGATTGAATTCACTTTATCATGTACAGACTGCTAGAGGTGCTGTGCTACCACTTGAACGGTGCAGTATTCTACCCGGACAACTTGCTCGTATGCAAATACCTCCTGATGTTACTCGAGAGATGGTAGAGTTTTCGACGAAGCCACCAGCCGATAGGTTGAATAGTATTAGGAATGGTTTCCAGGTATATTATCCATTTTTATCTTGTGCTTCGAGGTATACCTTATATACTCTCTTTCCAGGTCCTTGGTTATGGACAATCGGAATACGTCCGAAACTTTGGTCTGGCTATTGATGAACGAACGTTCCCGATGTCTATCGAAGCCCGGCAGTTACCTCCTCCGCAACTGCTCTACGGTCCAGGGAGTAAAGAAAGAGTTGCTGTGAGTCGTTTCGTTTATAAGAATATTGTGTGTCTTCATCTTCCTTTTGTGTACAGAAACCCCGCGATGGAGCGTGGAACATGTGAGGCCCATTTTCGAGTCTTATATACGACAGATCGCAATTCCTTATAAGTTTTTCATAGGATCGATAAAAAGTTATACAAGCCGGAGACTATCTATAGATGGGCGATGGTTGTTTTTGAGTCGTCTAATCGTTTCCGTCAGGATACTGCGTTGTTGGTGGTACGCTCCTTCGTCGAAGGTTGCCAAAGTGTCGGTGAGTGATTCCACGTCGTCTTCAATCGCTTGAAATCCCTAATGTGAGAGTACCATTGCAAGGCATCAACGTCGAAGAACGCGATCCAGTCATTGAATGGGCATCTGGACAAGGCGGTGTACAACAAGTTGCCACGGTTTGTTTCTTCCTTTTGTCACCCAGTAGTACTATTTCTTTACTGAGTTTTTGATTTGTATTGATAAAGGTATTGAAGAATGCTGGTGGCAAATGTGCAAGAAAGAATAATGCCGGGAAAGGTCCTGATATGATCCTTGTCATTCTTCCGGATGGTGGAAATGATATATATCGTGCAGTGAAATTGTGAGCGTGGTTTAGTAGTCCATGTTATGAATTTATAGTGATCTCACTGTGTGTTTTAGTTTCGGCGATGTTGCTGTATGATACTTTTTACTTCTACACCCTCTTTTCCCCTTCTTGACTTTTCGATTTCTGATTATTTCTTGTAGCAAGGAGTCGCTACACAATGCCTCAAAGCGTCAAAATGTAACCGCGCAAAGCCCCAATACTGGGCGAATGTGTGTCTCAAGTAAATTTTTCTTTTCTCGTCATTTTGTTACTTCATGTGTTTACGATTCTAACATAATTATCTTTATGTAGAATCAATCCCAAACTAGGAGGAATCAATCTTATCCTAGATACTGCCGCTTCTGCGAATCTCAGCGATCCACAGAATCCAACTATTGTCATGGGTGTGTGTCTATATACTTACCCTGCTTTTCTAAAATCTCTTCTATTGAGTCGTTGGCTTTATTAACTGGGACCGTTACTCGTAGGCGCGGACGTGATGCATCCAGCACCAGGGTCCGATGCTCCTTCATTCAGCGCAGTTGTTGGAAGTGTCGACAGTCAAGCTGTGAAATATATACCAAGGACTGGTGCACAAAGGTCTCGACAGGAGATTATCGCTGACTTGTACACAATGGCCAAGGTGCGTACTTATTTCTCTCTTTCTTTCGTTGTCAATACTAATTTCAGTCTTTTCACCGTGGATAAAGGATATCCTCATAAGCTTCTCCGCGTATCAAAAACAAGTCGAGAAGAAGGCACCTCAATTTTGCAAGCCCAAGCGGTTGCTGTTTTTCAGAGATGGTGTTTCGGAAGGTCAATTCGGACAAGTGATGGAAGAAGGTGTGTTGCCCTGTTTTCCTATTCCGTTGTTCCTCTTCCTTTTCCCCCTCCAACAAAAAAAAGAGATTGTTCATGGCTTACTGACAATGCTTCCCCCTTTCTTCCATCCTTGCAGAAGTCGCAGTTTTAAAAAGTATGTTGTTGTTGTGTCTTACTTCAAATATGTTATTTCTAATATTTTTTTTTGTCATGCCTCGTAATAGAAGTCTGCCAGGAACTAGACATGTCTCCAAAAATCACCTTCATCATCGTTGGTAAACGACATCACTACCGGTGTGTTTATAGATTCTATACTTATCCCTTTACTGACACCCGAATCACTTACTTTTCATCCTTTTTCCTTCATCCTTTCAAGTTTCTTCCCGCAACACCCAGACAATCGTGGCGAAGCTGATAAGAGTGGGAACTGCCCCGCGGGAACAGTTGTCGATTCAGGCATCACCCATCCCCTCGAGTTTGATTTCTATCTCCAGAGTCACGGAGGTCTTTTGGGTACCTCGAGATCGGCACATTATTCGGTTTTGTATGATGTGAGTAATTTAGTTGAATAATGTGTCGGGTTGGCTTTAATGCCTTTCTGTCTGTCTGTTCTGTTCGTATTATAGGATAATATATTCAGCCCGGATGCTCTGCAAGCACTCTGCTACCTATTGTGTTATATCTACGCCCGGGCGGTGCGCCTGTTTATATTTTTTAAATTGATATTTGTTCTCATCTCTTGACATCTTAGACTCGATCTGTATCAATACCGGCCCCAGTATATTGTACATCCATTCCCCTCACTTTTTTCATCATCAATCACTAATCAACAACTGTCCACCCCCCCCCCCCCCCTCCCCTCCTCTCTCATTATGTAGATGCAGACATCGTTTGTTCCCGTGCCAAAAACCACTACGACCCAAACGGCGTGGATTTATCTGATGCTGCAAGCACTGTCGCCACCGAAAACCTGCAATCGTTCATCGATGCTTTTAGACCGTTGCACAATTCACATAAAACGAAAATGTATTTCATGGTAAGTGCTATTGAATAATCAAAACATTTGATTTTGTGTTTATTTTATTTCGTTTGATTTTATTTTATTTTTAAAAACAGTGAATGAACCGTTCGGTTCTTGTACGACCACAATAACCAGGCAGCCTCGGAACTAGTTACTTTTGTTTTC